ATCTCTCACTGCTTGGAATGTTTCCACTAGCTTATTGTAGATATCATCCGATTCACAGTTTACCAGACTCTGAAAGCGATCTGACAATTCGAGTTGAAATCTCTCAGGGTTTTCGATAAGAACATGTAAAGATCGGAGCATTGGCGTCATCAAATAGAACCTTTTCAACCTAATATTCAATTTCTATGTGCCTCTTATCATTCAGTGATCGTTTCCGATTTTCAACCTATTGATCATTGAGACATCATTGGTCGTCATGATAACGTCTATCTCATTTTTTGTATGTCCGTCAGGGCTATCCCAGATTCATTTTACGCGAGACCACCTTTGAAAAAAAGTTCATCATAAATAGTCCATAAAATCAGCCAATTACTGTTCCCCAGGATCTCTTTCTCGATACCAAAGTTCCTCAATCTCATCTCATCGTCTTTCCTTTTATCCAGTTTAACATTTAAGTCCCCCATTAATATTATGTATTGCATATTAGAGGAACGTATAGCTTTTGATATATCCTCATATCTTGCCCCCACCTCATTATCAGTTCGTGTCACGTTCAGCGCCTATGTAACTTTCATCGAATATCTATTGGTAATTTTAAGTACCAAGTGTACCACCCTTGCCGACACACTGTCGTTCTCTAAGACATTATTTTCAAGGAGCTTGTGAACAATGAACCCGATACCACCACGGGACGATGGTAGACCAAATTACTATATTCAAGTATTATTATATTCTTCCTCTGTCTTCGGGTTTCAGATAAACCTATAATATTCCAGTTTAACTTGTTTATCTCTTCATCGAGCTTTGCATCCTTATCATCGGTTCTCAAAATTCGTACATTATATGTTACCAGTCCATTCTATAACCTTTTTTTTTTTGACGAGGGGAAATGCTTCTATAACCTACTACTGTTAAGTAACAACTGACGTGAGTCACTGACAACGAATATAATCAATTATATCAACTTAAACATCTGCAACCTATATATTCTGCAATTATACAAGTGCGTTCTCTGTTTACAAAAGCTAAGTTCTATAAATTTTACAATTTCAACAAGAGCTGAGAGATTTATATTATTTTAACAGATTTAACAAGAGTTGAAGTCTGTTTTTATATTTATGTTACTCCGTATGTTCGCCATTTGTAAACCGATTTTTGTAATCTATATAAATAAAAATTAATTGCCTTATATATAATATGTTAACGAATTATATCTGAATGGCTGCACTTAATTGACTAATCCTTTTTTTTTTTTAAATAACCAGTGCATGGTTTGTCTCGTTAAAGTTAAATGTATGAAAAATGGTAGGAGAAAGCGAAAAATTTTGGTTAATAAATCGCCATATAAAAAAAGATTTACTCTCTTTTTCTTATTAGTATCCCCATAGAAAGCTAGGTCGGAGGGATAGTTATCAGTAGATTTTAGTCCCGTGTCAATTGTGACAATTATTTGTTGTATCTGTACATAGACATAAGTAGCTGTTTTTGTATTAGACAATAGAGTACGATTTTTCTTTTCCTAACTACTGCGCTGAACGTTTCCTATAATCGTAATAAAGGGTTTATTTCTCCTTACAGTTTGTGACAAATTTTCTTCATTTGTACAATGATTTAGTAATTTAGTAGAAAACAAAGCGACTCTACCCAAGTTTACGGTTGACTTATTACGTTTATATGGTACCCACATATCAAACATATTCAGTTTACTGCAAATTATTATGTATTGAAACTGAGACGTCATGGTTTGCTGTTGTTTCATTAGTAATACCACAGAGGAAATATATGTCCTTTATACATTACAGTATGTTTTCTAAGACAACAAACACACATCTTATACATTTGCCCCATTTCCTTTGCCCATCGAGATCTTTTGTACTTTCCCCTACCTTATACTATCCTTTTATAGACCCTATAGGTTACGTTTACGATATTCTGCGATTTAAAATATCTATGGTATTGTAGCTAGATAAGCCGTTCCCAATAGATTCATATGCATACTTGCGAACAAATGACAGTTGCATATTAGGTATTTCCTACATTTTTGTTTTCTACATTATTATCCAGATTCATAGCTACGCAGATAATAAAAGCATACATTTCTGTTTGTAAAAACAGTAATTTTTTTCCTGTGCTTTGTATTATTTCACTTCTATTTGAATAGATTCCAGATCCAGTGCCATCCTCATTTTCAAGCCAGTGGTTCTCTTTAAGAGATGGCGTGCCATATTCCCACTGTTCTCTCTGCGATATATGAATCTTAAAGTTCGTTTGGAAAATGTAATTTGATATTATTTTGTCATATCTCATGTTCATATACATGTCTTTATCATAGGCGGAAAGTAATTAAATATTATCTCCAACGCTGCGCACTGGTGGTGATGAGCCATTATTGTGTTCCATGCTGTAAAGCTACCTGTATTAGTCCTAATACCGTATTTGAAAATTTTTCATTAACCATTATAACCATATCATGTGTATATTCAACAGTATAGACTGTCCTTAAACAATGCCATAAGATAGTTTACTACAATACTTCATTGGTGATAGTACATGCTGGGGGCATTCTTTAATAGTAGTTGCTTTTATTTTTGGCCCCTAATAACTCAGATTCTATAATTGTGCCTTTAAACATACAGTCTATCCATCAACAAAATGTATGATGTATACAATGATTCCTTACTGCTTGATTAATCGAATTGAACGTCATGCGATCAAACGCCCCTTTAATGTCCACAAAGGCGGCAATACACACTTCCTTCCTCTCTGATGCATCCTCTGCTCGACTTAATACATAATGTAATGCTGTCTCTGTCGATTTATTTTTTCTAGAGTTTTGATCAAGAAATACTGCAGACTTATTGGCCTAAAGGCTTCTGATCATAAGACAATAAACATTACAACTGAATATTTATATATCTCGTTGTTTTCTTTTATGTGGTTGTTTTTTTTTTCAAGAGAATAATAAATCATATCTTAAAAGTGAATTCTCAGAAGTGAAAAGTATATGCTCCATAATATTTATTACTAGTTGAACCCATCAAACCATTTAAAATTGCAAAACAAGTTGTCTAAATTTAACTAACTAGCGAAATTATCTCTTTAAAGAATAGGTTTTAAAAACATTTTTTTAATTATAATATATAAGGGAGGGGCCTTTAGTCAGTCCTTACGACACCCACGGGAAAGGAAGGGGTGGCCTATTCTATGCCGGGACCACACGGTCAAGTTGTACAATAATTAATTAATACTAATATTATAAATGTAAAAGTGAGTTTGTTTGTGTACTTAGTGTTTTAATGGCTCAACCAATCGTCATGATGTATGGTACCTCAAATAGTTTTGAGATAAATAAGGGCATAGGCTACTAAGTACTCGTATTGTCTTAATTATAGTGAATCTACATATCTCAGTCACGTAGACAAAGTCGCGAGTAAAAACTAATTCAGAATAAGTACTGAAATGGAATCGTTGTAGTTAATTATCTTTATATAATCATATCTTTATTCAAGGTTGATCAATGTATTGATCACATACAAAATAATCAATTTCACTTGATAACGTTGAGTATATTCTACATATCGTTTCATTGCAACTTAATTAACTTATTATTGAATTATGAGTGTTCGAGGGGAAGAGTAAAGGAAATCAAGAATAACAAAGTAAATGTGATTACAGCCGGCGATAAAACAAAGTCCCATCCGAGATCTGACGGGGAATTAATTACAATCGCGTGCAAGAACGCAACGAGATACTATGTCGTGTTTACTATAACGGATAGGCTCGTTGGAACGAGGTTCCAACAGATTAATACGTACCACATGAAGATAAGTTTAATTGTCAATATGTAATTAGAAATGTTTACAATGTTTGTATCTTGTAACAAATTAGACAAATTGGAAATTAAAATAGACAAATTAGAAGGACAGACAGAAACTGTCTGCCTAATGAAGTGATTATAAATTACTATATTTATTTAAAATTATTTATATCTTGAATTTCATTATAGAAACAAATAAACTTTAATTAAAATATAAGTCCCACAAAAAATAAAGAATTTATTTGTGTATTTTGATCTAAATACGAAACAACTGAACCGATTTTGATAAAATTTCTGTAGGACCAGTCGGTAAATATATCCGTTCAGTTAAAAAAAATAATTTTCCTAATCGATTTAGATTTGACGAAATTATGAGGTAATAAACATTTTTTTTTATCTCTTTAAACTAATAATAAAAATAGGGTCATCCTTTTACAATATTTATAAAATTTCATAACGTTAGGTATAAACGCGTTGCGTAGATCTTCGGGAGTATAACTGTGAAAACCACATTCAATTTAACGTAGTAGTTGTTACGTGATACAGGAACAAACAGAGAGACAGAAAAAAATCTACAAATTATTGTTTCAGTTTCCATTACTTAAATATCTCCTGCATACAAATATCGTCTAGTTACAAATTTATTATATTAATAAGATTACATACTTCTGGACAAATAGAAACATGGCGATATCACAGACGATATTATTTTTGATTTTGCATACTAACTACATACTAGGTACATTGTTTTTATATGTATATATAGTAAAATTTCATACATATAAGTTTCGTAAGTAGTAAGTAAAAAAATGGAAATAAAATAAATATATTTACATTTAAGTATGTTACAAACTGTTAGTTAAAAGTTAAAAAATACCTAACTACGTTATGATAAAACCTATTTAGTAGGGTAATATTTAAGTTAGAATAAATGACCGACCGAATAAATACCCGCCTGCTAAGCGTGGAAACTACTAGCAAACCCCCCATTGTGGGGATACATATGCACAATTAACAGCAGTGAATTTAAATTTGATATGAGTAAGAGATGATGAAAATATGGCTAATATATCTTTATTTTAATATGTATTTTTATTTTACAATTAATATCATCGAAACCTAGAGCTTAAAAACTCAAACAACTGTAAAAAAGTATGATAAAAAATTTTAGAGATAAACTTACCAAATGCATAGTAGCAAACACCAAATAGATGTGGTGCAATAGCAGTAAGAAGACCAAAAAGTGCTTGGGGCAACTCCGTGGCAAGGAAGAGACCAAGCAATGCCACCAGCATACGCGTAGTGCGATCCGTACGGCCCCCGCCTCCTCGCCTCCCACCGCCGTCTTCATTCAGACGAGTTTTTTCACCCTACGCATATTAAATTACACAAAAAAAGAAGTCAAAATAAGTGTACGTGACAAGGTCAAGAGAAATCTAACCACAAAATTACATATATACATACTTCCGAAAAAAAAAAAAAAAAGATTAGTAACCGTTTTCTTGGGAAATCGAATAATAATTAATGATCACAACATCTAAAATGTATGTCATTGACAAATAAAAGAGAAAACTAAATACGTTATGCATATTAATATAGACTTACACTTTGAGAGTGATATCTTATCTTAGTGTTATTTTCAGATATTTACTATGGCAATAACTATCATCATAACATTCTCATATTGGACGTCAGACGTTGGAAATGGTAGTTTATTAATATCAACTATGTAGCTACTATATACAAGCAATATCCTGTAGGGTTATTACAGTAATATGAATAAAAAGTATCCTATAGTTTATTCAGCTTATCATGGTCCATTCTTATGTGCTCCTTACATTGAAATCTATTCAGCGTGTTTGAGTAACAATCAACTAAATATCTTTATAGATTTTGACATTTATACTATCAATAAGATTAATTAAATGAAACTATACGTAAGTAATTAATATTTTTGTAATTCGTACCTCGCTTGTGGTGATGGCTGACTTCTTAAGTAACTTTTGTCTTCTTCTATCACTTGATTTCATTTTTAAAATTAATAACACACTCAAAATTGATAACACTACACATGGTATAAGTTTTATAAATACACTGTAAATCCAAAATATGGCAGTAAGTAAATCTGTATTATCCGTCATTTGCAGAGCGTATGCCGGAGGCCGACTCCCCGTGGCATTCACACTGTCCGTCTCGCTCCACGTCGTATTCTCGCTTGCATTTTTTGAGACAACTGTTTCCCGAATATTCATAGCGAAATATATAGGAAGACACAATATTGGACAAACAGCATACGCCACAGTAATAGCTATATTAGTATTTCTTTTATTACATAACGTTCTATTCTTCTGTGGAAACTTTATCGCGATGTACCTCCAAACGGCAAGTGTTATAGTAAGCCAAATAGATATTGTATGGAAAGTTTGGCTGAAGATGGAATGGAAGTAAACGAACACAGCCCAACCATATGAATTACGATTATACTCAGAACCTATTTTAGTATAAATATGCAGCGCAAATGGTATATAGTCGAGCATAACGAGTAGATCAGCAACGGCGAGGCCTGTGAGGATGGAATTTGTGGATGAGGCCATCTCCTTCCGACTGAGTACGGCAATATTGACAGAATTAGCGGCAGATCCGAGCAGACAGATTATCAGTGCGATGTATCCGTGGACCTGTACATAAACAGATTGGAAGATCTGTCCTCCCGGCACACAGTACGCCACACTGGCTGCGTTACCATCGTTCTCAGTGCTTGACATCTTTGTGAGCAGCCTTAACAGCTATTCTTGAAGGCCTCTCTTGATATTGACATCCGTTTATTCTTATGCATAACCTGAAATTAAAATCATAATTTAAGATTTTGTTCTACAAAAATCAACAGCTAGGTTTGATGGCAACTTGGCTAGCCGTTCTTTTTTATAGGCCTATATTTATGTTTTTATATTTTTTATATCTTATTTGATACAGGTATGTTACTTTTTTTGACGTTTCTTTTTTAAACATTTTAAAAATATCGTCAGGCAAATGTGGTAATATTATTTCTCAGTGACAACTAAATTAATATGGAACCAATAAAAGAATAGTGCAGATTTAGCAAAAATAGATAAAAGAACCTGAACTTTAGAAATTCCTTTCTGAAACCGCTTAATAGCATTAATTGCCATTTTTTCAAATTAAATCCATCTACTATCATTTTATATATATTAAATTCAGCACAAAGAATCTCAGACAGAAAAAAAATAAAGCTTACTATATTTCAAATAAAATAACTAAGAGCGCGAACGAAGAAATTTCTCAATTTAATTCTATCTTGTACTGTTGTTGTTGACTTGCATTCTGTTATTTTACGAAAATATAAAAAATAATCGTAAACTAAAGAGTCACATCTTAGTACCGACAAGATACAGACACGCTCGTATTTACCCTTATATCGGGTGAATGGCTAGAAGCTCCCCAAGGGTGAGGTTGTCAAGTACTTACAACTACAAACTATGCTTTCAAACGCCCCAATCTGAGTTAACTTCGTAACTGTCTATTCTCGTACTCGTTTCTTTATAGAAACGGAAACTGAAACTAGGGTAAAGTGTCTTAATAATATTATTATTTTCATTAACTTTCGTTAACATTTCAGTATTGTTCCTGTAAATTTATTAAAGTTCTAACACTAAAGAAATGTTGTGTATAAAATATCTACAATAAAACTGACGGTATTATACATATATAACAGTAACTCATATTTCATAAATTAATATAATATTAAATTCAAATAGAACGAAATTATTATTATTATTATTATAAAAATACCTAAATTACTTTTGGAATGCAGTCGGGCAACGAAATAGGTAATGTTGGAAAAGACTGAGAAAGTGCTTTTGACATTAATATTTTATGAGATGGGTCATGAGATTGTTGCATAAAAGATTTTTTTACACGACTACCCATCGTGGTTACACTGGATCTTGTTGGCATATAAGTGGATATATTTATTTCACCATAACTTCTAAATGCCTTAACAGATTTCTATGTACAAAATATCGTTAGAAAGCATCATCCCAATTGGCAATGAAGTCGATTCAGCGTCATTTCTCTAAACCTATCTCTAAAATTATAATTTCATTTAGATATTACAGCTAAATCCTTATTTTAAGGTACAATATAAACTAATTTACATTCGTAAATAATAATAGCAATTTTAGTTTATGATAATCCATAAAACAGTAATTTCACGAAATCATTGAATTAAAATACAAAATTAAAAGATAAGTTTAGTGAAATGACCTAGAATTGCCTCATTAACTGATTTTTTTAATACTATTTTTAGCACAGAATTTATGTCTTTTAATTTATTATTTTATGTACATTGTGTTTTAACATTTACTAATGATTATGAATGTGTCATTAATCTTGGAAGGTTTATAATCGAGTGACATATACTCTAGGTTTTTTGTTTTATATTGCCACAGAATTGCAAAGGTCTGCCCGTTTAAACAATAAATAAAGATAAAGTGTGAGTCAAATGTTATATGAGTATAATTCTAACGTAACAATAAAACTGCTATATATGTATTTTATTGTTTAACTGGTCGTTGTCTGGATGGACGAGGGACTGAAGTTTAATTAGTTCGTAATGTACCCTCGTATAGGGCAAAATGTAGGCGTAATCTGTCGAGATCCGACTTTCACGCCAAACAGTTTGCTAATTAATACCACTATACGATTGATTATATCGTTAACATATAACACTTTATACGAATGATTTCCTGTCATTAATTCAAAATAGAATATTCCAACATAAGTGTTAAATTGTTCACAGCATAATAATATTATATGTACTATATCGAAATAATTATTTCCTTAGGATTCGCTTACGTATATGGAACACTCTCCAACAGACTTTCTATTAACTCTATACAAAATGTTATATTTTTTAATTCAATACATAGTCCTCTATTACATAGCCTTCATATCCTAAAATTTCATAATCAGGAACCACATATGAATCCAAAAATATTTTTTCTTCCTCTTATCTAAAATACCATCCACTAACTTTTCTTGATAAATAACCACTTCTCTCCATATATTTGCTATATCTTGATTACTCGGCTAATTTCTCTAATGTATATTTTTTATGATACTTAAAATGGCAAACAGGCTGACTAACCGTCTAATGGAAAATGGTTACCATCATCATAGAATACACTGTAATTCCCATGCTAATCTTCGTTCATGCGTTGTCATTCCTAAGGAATATGGTATTAGTCCCCCATACTCTATAATTTACACTGCCATATCCTACCCTTCAAATCGATACACAGTCATGCAAGCACAGTTGTTTCGCGGCAAAAATATAGATGGGACAGAGGTACCCAGAAGGACTTTTATGTAAAGTCTACAATCTGAGCATAATGTTAATTTAGGTTAATTTACATATTAATACCAAATTTCGTTCAAATTAGTAATTTTAATATTAAAGCTTAAATAAGTAAGTAAATAAATTTATAAAATCGTGTTTTAATATTTTTATTTTCAATCTTCAGAGTGGCATGAAGAACTAAAATTAATTCTAAGTACTTTGTACGTAACTCCAATCCAGTTGTCATTTATCGTGATAAAAAAATATTTATATATATATATATATATATATATATATATATATATATATATATATATATATATATATATATATATATATATATATATATATATATATATATATATATATATATATATTGATTGATTAATCAGCGTGTGAAAAATTATGACTATATTGAATGAAGCTAAAACAAGAAAATGTATGAAAGTAAAGAGAGAACAAAAATATAGTTACTGAAATTAATGAAACTATATCAGCATGTCAGGTAGGGGATGAAAGAGAAATTTAAATCTGTTTGTGATGAATTAAAATTGTGAGACTGATATTGAGAAGAAAAAAAACGATAAGATGTATAATGTGATAATTATAGCAAGCAAAAAAATATATATCGAATAATGCTCAACTTGGACAAATTCAGAGTAACCATATACCACATATCAGCCATTAACTATCCACTGCTGAACATAGGCCCCCTCAGAGGGCGGGGGTGTAAGGCAGTATTTTTTGTTTGGTAACCCCAGTTTGGCTTTAGTGATACTTTAAGAGGTATTCTGCAGTTCATTCCTCGACCATTAAGTTCGCTTAGTCGCTTTTTACGCCACCCATAGGAAAGGGTGGCCCATTCTAAGCCGGTATATATATTTAATAGTAATATGATAGTTTATATATATATATATATATATATATATATATATATATATATATATATATATATATATATATATATATATATATATATATATATATATATATATATATTCCATAGTTACGATTTTATATATATATATATATATATATATATATATATATATATATATATATATATAAAATCGTAACTATGGAACAAAAAGCATTAATTTAATAATTTTTACAAAAGATTACATTACATATTCTATAATATTTTTTTACAGTTTTATAACAGCGCAGGTGCCTACAAGGCTTAAATGAATGAGCGTGCCTGTTAGATTATTTGTTAGATCAATCTTACTTGAGAGAATTTTCCATCTGAGTAGTTAGCTCTTCACGTTATCTGAGGCATAAATTGGATTACATTTTTCTACAGTAAGTCCTTCGCTCTATCCGAAGGTAAGCTAAAATGTTGTTAAAGAACGTAAACAGTAGTGTACACTTGGAAAAAAGCTCTTTTTTGCTATTTAGATTTCTTATTAAAATTTTTCTGCACAAAAAGAAAAATACATATGAACTGGACATTAGGTATCGTGATTTTCAAACGGAAAAAAATTAAGAAAGTACAAATATTGTCACAACACTTTCCAAAATACAGAATTTTCTTCTGTATTTTGGGAAATGTTGTGACAATATTTTTACTTCCTAAATTTATTTCAAAAGTACGGTTTACATTTGTGCAACCCGCAACATGTTCTTGACCTACCACAAATAAGAAAATTATGCATTTATAAAATTATTTTGGTAGAACATTAGGTATTTATATTTTTCTTCAAAAAAATGAAAGTATTTGCGTCTGCTATCCTTTAATCTATTTTGTGGTCTGTTTAGGCCTGAAATCGTAACTAATTTAAACAGAGCACTTGCCATATCGAATATATTGTCTATATATAGATAGTAGTTACTTAGTGCTGCAATAAATCAGAAATATATTCAAGTTGCACGCTTTGCTAGGTACTGATAAAATATAGTTAGTGTTTCACAATGCGCTACAAATTGCTAAGAGCGTTACGTATGAGACTGATTAATCCATCCCAGAGAGCACCCATACACAATTGTATTTTATTTTCTGTTGCATTGTCATACTCAAGATGCTAAGACTCATAGCGAGATTCACTCTAGACAAAAACACACATGCAATATGTATTTACGAAATATTTGATGATAAAACAATTAATTCAATTTTATTAGTCTTAATATTTAGCATAACTCTGTTTGAGTATATAATTTCTATTTTCTCGATATAATAGGTATAAACAAAAACATACTATATCACTCTAATGAAATAAATAAAAATATGTAGCAAATCAATGACCTCACAAATAAGGTATACTACATTATAAAACTTCATAGCTGCTACTGACGTGCAACTGATTCTCGAATTAAAACAACACATTGCTAATTCTCACGTTCGGAGAAACAATAATATCCCCTAATGCTTTCCAGAGCAACTGGAAGTAAGTTTTCGGAGTCTTTATTTTACTATGTCTACAGAATCATCACGAAATATGCCTGTTGACATAAAACAAGTTATTGCAACTGAGATAAAAATA